GGAATTACAGGCACGCGCTATCACGCCCGACTGGTTTTTTGATTTATTGTAGAGATGAGGTCTCACCAAGTTGCCCAGGTGGGTCTCAAACCTGCGGGCTCAGGCAGTCCACTCACCTCAGCCTCCCAAAGGCGCGGGATTACAGGCTGAGCCACCGAGCCCGGCTCCCTTAAGTGATTTTTTCAAAGCAATTTATCTTTCATCCTCTACTTGTATATTGAGGAATCTATGTGCAAGTTCTATTTACCCTGCCAACTTTCATTAGCTTGTTTTTCAAGGACATTTTGGATTCTTAGTCTGCCACCAGCATTACTCACTGTCCCATCATATTATCATCCACAAATTTAATAGACTTGCTTTCTATTTTTGTTCCTGTCCAAATCATTAATTAAAATAGGAAAGGATTAAGGACAGAAGAAATAGCACTATATTTTGAGTAAGGTTGTTTGTTCCAATCTAATCTCAGATGTTCTTGAATCCAGTTTGAATTCCTATGTTTTGTTTGTTTTTTCCTGTGAAGGTGGCAAGAGAAACCTTTGGAACCTTGCTGAAATCTAGCTAGGCTGTGTTTTGTGCTCTTCTCTAATGTACCAATCGAGTTACAAGTTACAACAAAAAGGTTTTATCTTGTTTTTTCATGTGCTTGCTAGGCCTTACTCTCCCAGGTCCTCACACACTATTTCTTTAATAATCAATTGTAAAATTTTGTTCATGTAAATCAAGGTTGCCATCTTCAGTTTGTAGAATTCATGACAGGCATCCTTTTGAAAACTAAAACATGTACCCAAGTGCAGTCTTTCTTTGCTTCTCTTCTCAGATATTCGTCAGTGATCACAAATGATGACTGGACTTCTCATTTGTAATATTACAATGTTCTCAGAAAATATTTCCAAGCTAGGATTGTTAGTTACATTTTCTCTTGCACTCCTTTCTCCCATCTGGGATAGATTCTTGTCAACCTTTTTCTTGAAGACCTTTTTCTTGCCCTTAAGTGTTCTTTGTATCATTCTGTGGGAAAGATTACAAGTTTCAATGATATATGTAAATGTTGGAGAATTATTGTGCTTCCAAGTTTTATGTTTTTCCCATCCCAGGTTACTCTTCAGCAAAGTGAGAAAGAAAGCGTGCTCTGGAGTTGCTTTAAACAGAATCTTATTTTCCTCCCCAGTAGGAAGGAGAAAATAATAGGATGTTCTTGACAGTACTGATTTCAGAATTAAGTGTGATAACACATCATTGTACAGTGCTTAGCAGTGCTGGCACAAAGTTTTAAAGTGTCATTAGGAGTAGTATTGTAATATGTTGGTACGTGCACAGATAGTATAAGCATCTAAGGCCATGTAAGTTAGCCATGTTTTATATAGTTGGGTGGGCTTATATAAGAAAGTAACAACCTTCTATTTCTAATTTGTTTATACCACTAAGAAAACTCTTTTGATTCTTTCATTTCAGATGGAACTAGAAGCATTACGTTCAATTTATGAAGGAGATGAAAGTTTCCGGGAATTAAGTCCAGTTTCCTTTCAATATAGGGTAAGACATGGCATGAATAGGAATGCTTACTACTTTGATAGAACAGACTACAGGTTGATAAAAAATGCTTGTTTTGTTTTTTAAGCTCAGTTGTTTAAATTAATTGTCTTCTGTATTTCCTGAAGCATTTAAGTGTAAACATCACCCTGACATTAATCATTCCTAACATAAACTTGTATCGTAAAACATTAGAAATTGAAGAAACCTTTAAAATTATGTGATTTCACCTTTTTTTCTTTTTTTTTTTTTTGAGTTGGAGTCTCACTCTGTCGCCCAGGTTGGCGTGCAGTGGCACACTCACTGCCACCCCAGTGTCGACCTGCTGTGCTCCAGCGATTCTTCCTCCTCAGCCTGCAAAGTAGCTAGAACTACAGGCATGCACTACCACGCCCAGCTAATTTTTGATATATTGTAGAGACGAGGTCTTACCAAGTTGCCCGGGCTGGTCTTGAATCCATGGCCTCAGGCAATCCACTCCCCTCGGCCTCCCAAAGTGATGGGATTACAGGCTAAGCCACCAAGGCTGACCTTACCTCTTAAAGATAACATTTCAGTCATAACTTCCTAAGCTCTCATAGCTGATATTGATAAATGTTAGGATTAAAATACAGGTTTCCATTCTAAGTCTAGTATTGTTTTTACTGTCCTATCACAGTCAAGAAAAGTTGATATTTTATTCTGTATTCTAAATATGTATGAATATTTTTTATATATGTGAAACGTGGATTTTTCTTTAAATTGGAAGTTTCTCATAACTTTATCTTTAACACAAAACAGTACCATTATTTTATTTTGTAAATAGATAATGTAAACCTTTTACTCAAATGATTATAAGTAGAGAAATGGGAAAGTTTTTTGTGAAAGGTTTACAGTTATTACTAACATTGTGACCATTTAAAATAAATTGTATCAGAAATGACCCTGATGCATGATTGATTGAAGACTGTCACAGAAAGTAAATTTTGTGTAGTTACTTCCTTTGAATATTCTCCTCCTTGCTCAGCTCTGCTCAATTCCCTTTCAAGCTTAACAGTTTTTACACCAGCTTCCTGTGTATAATAACCAGGGAACTTTTAATAGCCAGAGTTAATGATGGAGTTAAGTCCTAGGCCATTCTGTTTGATTCCAACTGCCATCCTCTCATTGGCAACTGGGAGATGTCCCTCTACTTTTCTCAATGTCTCTATGTAGAACAGCAGTCAGTTACTGAGGACACAGTATGCACAATGCTCTAGGATGTGTATGTGTGTTGTAGGATGGGTACTCTGATATGACCCCTAGGATGGATTTAAGAGAAATGTAACATGGAATTAGGAGACAGTGTGCTGACAGTCAGATGACTGACCCAGGCTGCCTTTGTCATAAGTCAGACACCTCTGTTCTTATACAGAAGAATGGTCTAGAAACCTCCTAAATGACTTGCCAGGTTTAATTTGTTGTATAGCTCCTCCCTCACTCTGCCTTTAGTCCGCCAAAAATACTAGTAGGCACGCTGAAACACTTAAGTTGAAAGTCATCCCATCCTTTTGTTTAAGAAGGGTTCATCGTGGGTTCTTCTTGCCTTTACAATGAGGACTGAATTCAGTTTCACACTCAAAGTCTTTGATCTGCCTCTCCAAACTTTCTCAGACACTGATGTCTCTTAGACATATGGATTGTTACATTTTCCCCTAAATTTTTTTACTTCTATACCTTCAGATACATTGTTTGCTCTTTCTGGCAACTCTCAGCCTTTATCCCTCCAATCTCTCCTTTAAGGCCTAACTCAAGCCTCTTCTATGCCATATCTGTACCATGTCACCTATCTCTGCTATGACTTTGAATCAGAATTAACCCTTCCCCATTTCTTGGTGCCTGTTCTGTTATTTTTGAGCTGTTATTCATACTTCAATTTTGTGTGTCATATAAATGTCCAGTTTCCTTGAAGATAAGAATGGTCTAGTCCCTGTCTTTCTATCTTCAGTACCTCATGAGGTATGTGATATTTGTTCCTAAATGCACCATGAGTAAGGATTTAGTGATAACATAAAGCAAGTAACTTTTATCACTGCTTAATTAGCCCATATCTAATAGCATCTATTTATGCGGGTCATCAGCTTATCCTAGTATATCAGCAGTTCCCTAAATTCATTTGGTATAATTTCTGAGCCTCATATTTGTAAGAGTATGATTGTGGGTAAAGAGATGGGGGTGAAAAATTAGCAGCCAGAAAATACAGGTAAATCAAGTGATAATTTGGGGTGAAATTTTAAAAAATCTAATTGCTGCTGTTGAAAAACTTTTTTAAAGCAGCGTATATACTAAAAATGATACAGAGGAGGTTAGCACAAGCCTGTGCAAGGATGTGATGCTGATTCACAAGTCGTTCCATAGTTTTATTATGAAATCTCCATTTTGCAACCACTCATGTAATAATTGATTCAGTCCAGGACTATTAATGAATGCTAAAACCTTTGGATGAAAGGATGTTGAGAAACAAGTTATCCACACAGTTTTGTAGTGTTACCCCACAGAATACTTCTTAATTACAAAACGAGAAGGTTTTCATTGAAGAGTTCTGGAGAAAATCACCTTAACGAACTGATCAAACCTAGTGTCACCAATGATGAGTCCAGAAGATCTTGTGTGCCTCCTTATAGGATGCTAGGAAACTATACCATCACATCACTTATGTAGGTTCCTCACCAAAAATGTAGAATCTGAACAGAAAAAACAGTCTAGATCTGGGGACATTATGCAAGGAAATGTATTTTATCATAAAATACATTTTAAAAATGGGATAGAGGCCTAGTGACTATTGTAAATTAATGCAGAATAAGGAGACCTGGCAACGAAATCAGTCTGTGATCCTTCAGTGAATTATGGATTTGTGGGTTGAGGATAATGTCTATTAAAGGACACTGTAGATATGATTGGGGAATTTATAATATGGTTTATGTATTAGTTAATGTTTTGGTATCAATGTTGAATTTCTTGGGTGTGATAATAATGTTGTGGCTATAAAGGAGATTGTCCTTTCTCATTTTACCCATATTTAAGGACACTTCATTATTTTTAAATAGTTTGGCAAAAAACAAGGGGAAAGTGTGCAGTGGGGTTGATTCTGTGGTAAAGGAAGAAAGTAAATGGGACAAAAAGTATTTGGTGAATAAGATAAATGTCAGCATGTGGTCATTGTGCTATTTCAGTGTTTCTTTAAGATTAAAATTTTTTAAATAAAAAATTGGGGTGCAAAATAAAAGATGTCTTTCACTTACTCAGGAATTGCTGTTTGGCTAAAGGCAGTTCTTTTCCTCATCCCATGGCTTTTCCTCTTTTATCTCAGTTACACATTTTTTTTTCTGGTCTCTTGGGATTGTGCCTCTTGTAATTTAGCAGTTGGATAACTTAAGACAAAGATGAAGTATTTCAAGCTTGTGGATTATTATTTTTGTCCATTCTCTTCCTGTTTTCCACAATTGGTACCTTATTCTTGGAAAACTTTGATGAAAACAAAAAATATCTAAGACATAGAACAACTAATGGGCTGGTTGGAGGGACAGGCCATGGACATACACTAAACCTGTTAAGGCAGACAAGGACTAAATTGAAAGTCAGACTCTCTTTCTACTCTCCTTACCCCATGCTCAGTTCTAGCCTGTATCCCTGAACTTTTCAAAATATTACGTTTCAGAGCTGCGCGTGAATGTTTGAAAGAATGCGTTCTTTTGAAGATTAAAATTTTGTTCTCTTTTTATCACTGTTTACAAGATGTCCCCTTTTCTTCAGATAGGTGAAAATGGTGATCCCAAGGCCTTCTTAATAGAGATTTCCTGGACAGAAACATATCCCCAGACCCCTCCGGTTATATCCATGAATGCTTTTTTTAACAACACCATGTGAGTAGTGTTTTGTTTTCATTGTCTTTTCATCTTACTCTTTATTTAACTTTTCTCTTAGCAACATATTTGTTGTGTGTTGTAGATCATCCGCTGTAAAACAGAGTATATTAGCCAAGTTACAGGAAGCAGTAGAAGTTAATCTCGGAACCGCCATGACCTACACGCTCTTCGAATATGCCAAGGACAATAAGGAGCAGTTCATGGAGAACCATCATCCTGTTCATTCCACTGTGAGTCTGTGATTATTTTTTGCCAGATTCTGTTGTTGTCTTGGTTTTGTTCTGCTAGTAATTAATTTTTAATTTTTACTAGTTAATATTTTTTTCAAAATTGGAAGGAGTCTTTTTTTTTTCAAAATTGGAAGGAGTTAATATTTTTTTCAAAATTGGAAGATTTAAAATGAGAGTTATGTCTGAGTTAAATAAGAACAATGAATTTAGATTTCTCCTGTTTAACCCAGAAAGTGAAATTATATTCTCTAGATTTTTACCCTTTATCAGGGACTAGAATACCTTTTATGCCTATGAAAACTGAGATGTTGTAGAACCTAGTATTTTTTAATTAGCTAAGAAATTTTGGTTTTGAGAGACAGGTCTTGCTCTGTTGCCCAGGCACGATCATAGCTAACCACAGCCTTAAATTCCTAGGCTCAAACCATCTTTCCACCTCAGCCTCTCCAGTAGCTGGGACTACAGGCACACACTACCACACCCAGCTAATTTTATTTCTTGTAGAATCATGGTCTTGTTATGTTGCCCAGGCTGGTCTTGAACTCCTGACCTCAAGCAGGTCTCCTGGCCTCCCAATGTCCTGGGATTACAGACAGGAGCTATTGCACACTTGGTCCCAAAGGATTTCTTATGCAGTGTTAAAATATGCATGAAATTGCTTTCTCCATGACACTTATTTTGTTGCAAATAGTCTTTGCCACAGTTCAGTTTGAAAGCGTTGCATCATAGGGATACTTTATTGAATAGAAACAATTGTTTGGATGGATTTTCGGAAATATTTATCTTTCATGACCTTAACATCTGTGTGTAAGACTCTTCATACCACATCATGCAGTATAAGACCTTCAGTGTTCTGTGTTCTTTAATTTTGCCTTGTGAATCAAATGGTCAGCTTTTGGGCAGCAGAGCCTATGTCTTCTACCTGAGTGGTTCTGGCTTCCACATTCCCATCAGGAGATAAAAGAACCTGAGAGGCAACTGGGGGTGCAGTAGAGGGTGGTGGTTCTGATCCTAGACTGCAGGCCAGCTAGGTTCAGATTACACCACTTACTGTGTGGCTTTGGGAAAGTTTCTTAATCTCTCTGTGCTCAGTTCTTCCTCATCTGTAACATGGGTGTTATATAATAGTATCTACCTCCTAAGATTGTGGAAAGGATCAAATGAGTGATATATGTAAAATATTTGCAGCAATGGTTACACCTATATATTTTTTTGTGTGTGTGTGTGAGTTGGAGTCTCACTCTGTTGCCCAGACTGGAGTGCAGTGGCATGCTCCTGGCCACCGCAACCTTGACCTGCTGGGCTCCAGCGATCCTTCCGCCTCAGCCTTCCAAGTAGCCGGAACTACAGGCACACACTACCACGCCTGGCTAATTTATTTATTTATTTATTATAGAAATGAGGTCTCGCCAAGTTGCCTGGGTGGGTCTCAAACCTGCGAACTCAGGCAATCCACTCACCTCGGCCTCCCAAAGTGCTGGGATTACAGGCTGAACCACTGAGCCTGGCCACACCTAGTATTTTAAATTTTAGTTATCATAAGCCTTGACTACACAAACCTGAATGTTTTTAAAAATGTCTTCAGAGAACCAGGATGTTCTATGTAGGCATATGCATTTTTTTCTAAAGATTTAAATTTCTGAATAATAGCAAGTTAACTGACTTATAGAACTACTTTGGAACTTCAGATCTTCAACATAATGCTGATCATCAGATGTTTCTTCCCAGGGTTTTGGTTATAAGAATTGCACTAATATTATGTTCTTAAATGTGAACTTTGAGAAGAGTGAAACCAATAATGTGTTAAGGGCACCTGATTTAATAAATGAATAATAATGTTGGATTCTTTTATTTCATAGGTCTAAAAATTATCAACCCATTTCAAGATGTAGGTATACTTAGTATACTATAAGTTGTAAGGCATGAGTCTAAGAATTATCTTTTTTTTTAGACATCAATAAACAATATCATCTCAGTTGAAACTCCTAATACAGCCCCACCAAGTAAGAAAAAAGACAAAAAAGAACAACTTTCAAAAGCCCAGAAACGTAAACTGGCAGATAAAACAGGTTTGTATTATTTTTTAAAATCTTATAACACAGACAATTGCGTTGCCTTTTAGTGTGACACGGGTACTTAATAGGTATTTAGATTTAGAAGATTAATTATTTGATCTTGGAACATTTGGGTCAGAGATGTTTTGAGTCACAGATGTACACTGAAGATATTTACTACTATGAGTATCTACTACTACAGGAGATAAGGATTTGAAAAGAAGGTAATTTAGTGACAAAATGTCTACTAATGAGTCTTGAGGTTAAGGAACGTTAGAATAGTTGACAAAAACGTGTCCTACTTTCACGTTCCACCATGTTGGGATTCTCCTGTTTGTTTACCTCTATGACAGGTACTTTGGTGTACCATTAAAATATTTTGAAATATAGGTGTTTATTTGAAATAAAGTCTGACACGTCATTAGGCCTTAGCATGATAAATAATTTCATGTTTTTTCTGTAGTTAACTTATTTATACAGCAACAATAAGATTTAATAATAGAATTGCTGTATGTCCTAAACCAGAGGCCTTTAGAAGAGGATTATAAACCCAGCTCATATCAACAATAATATTGGATCCTGTTTATTTATTTACCCCCAAAATTTGCAAATGGATATCAGTCTATACACTTTTTCAGTTAGGGAAAATGAGGACATTTGATAACTTTTTCACAGTTAGGGAAAATGAGGGCATCTTCATGTGTGCTCATGAACATTTATACTCACGTATGTATGTATTTGAGCTACTGGTATAAGGTTACAAGCTGCCCTTTACTGAGAAGAACTGATCCTTTTATTTTGATGAGGGGATTTTAAAATGCTCTTTCTTTTTATGAAGGAATGGTAGTTTTTTTGGTGGTTTATGTTTTGTTTTATGTCCATGTGTGGCAGAATAAAAAGATAGCAATCCTGTACTGGTCTCCAAAATACATTTTTGGAATTGTAATGATTTATGAGGTAAATACAGGAATCCATTATACCTAATGTCACAGCAGCATTGCAGTATAAACATTGAAACAGTAAATTGTTAGCCGTTACAGTCTGTTCTCTGTAATTCTGGTTGGTCTCTTTTTGAAATGTAGCATTGATGTCAGTTAGTTGCTTTCATACATAATGACCTTGAATCATTTACTTTCATTAGTAACTCCCTACCCCCATCTCCTCAGTGATGCCACCAAAAGTCATTACATTTCTATACTGACAGCGTAGGAGTTTGTGGCTTGATACTTTCATCCTAAATAAAATTCTAATGGGACAGTCATGGCACTGTGGGTAAGTTTTAGTTAACCAACATTGGTGATGTGCCCCTGATAACCTGTAACCAGTGGGATATGATGCTTACTGACATGAAGGAGAACAGAACCATGAGTATCTGAGATTAAGCTCCCCAATGTTGCTTCTCTCCTATAAGAATCATGATTGATTTCTGTTTTCCTAGCGGTAAAATTCATATAATACACTTGTTTTGAGTGCAAATTTTGAAGGTTTCATAAAATTAGACATATATGGCATACATCAAGCATAAAAGAAATCAAGTTATTTTAAATTAAAGAGGTTTATATAGTATATAGTGATTATACTTTTCTTTAAATTTGAATACTCTGTTAAAAGAATGAAAGCACATTGTAAGCTATGAATTCTTATGTAAATTCTGATGTGCTTGTTTTCAAGCACTCCCAACAGGTTAAAGCCCTTTTTAAAGAAAAAGAATGTTAGATTAAATAATGAATATTTTATGAGTGCACAGCAACTAATACATAAGTTAGCCAGGTTGCCTCATAGTCTTAAAGCCAAGCCAAGCTTTTGTTTGTAAAGCCTCCTAGCTTCCTGGTGAGAAATGCTAACTCATGAAACAGTGAACTAACACAGCTTCTTACTTCCATAAGCAGTGACCTTGGATAAAGTAGAATTATGCAAATGCATGAAAATAAGAAAGCGATTAGCCCCTCTTCCTGGCATTACCAACCCATCTCCATGTTTTTTCCTTGACAGCAAGTTTTGTCACAAATGGAAATATTGTAAATGTGAAAGGGAGTATGCCTAAAATACTTCACAGGTATCTGTAGAGAACAGTGCTTTTAATTCACAGTGATGATAAACTGTTTTTCCCACTTAGTAATATGTTATTTAAATATTTATTCTATTTGTTGTATATATTAGTAAAATACAAATCTTATTTATTCATTAGAAAATTTAAAACTAGCTGATTGGTTTTAGAAGTAAAATTACTATTTTTTACCCTCTAGATCACAAAGGGGAACTTCCTCGAGGCTGGAACTGGGTTGATGTTGTGAAGGTATACAATATTTATATTGTAGTCTTTTCAATTGTTGTTAATTATTACCATCAAATAATGAAATCTGTATTTTTTGTTCCCCCTCCCAACCTTTGGAATTAACTGGGATGTCTGTTTTCTTTTTTACATTCAGCATGTAAGTATTTTTTAAATATCCTTTACATTCTTCTCTGTACCCTCAGTTTTAGAGTTTCTTTTTTTAAAAAAATAGAAAATCTACAGAAGTAAGTTATAACTATAATATGGTATGACTCTTTATGTAAGTACACCTTGAGAATATACAGGCTTAAATATCAATAATAATTATCAATAATATGAAAATGGAAGAAAACCAAACATGGAAAGGAAGGTTTTATTAGGAGAAACGACTTTTAAGTTGTGCTTTTGTTAAGGATAGTTCTTGAATGGAGTTGCCAGAAAGATTTTGTTCTTATTTAAAATAGTTTACTTTCCATTTGAATTTTCTTGCCTACTTCTCTCACATTTTTCTTGCATTAGCTATGGTTTCAAGGATGATAAACTGAAACTTAACACAGTAAGTTAATTCTCTTTGTAGGGCTTCAAGAAGTAAGTTTTGCATGCCAGTTAGTGCCACAGCTGCTGTGAAAAGTTTCATATGGTCTAAGGGTAAAGATTAGTGAAGACCCAAATTGTTCTTAGAATTTCTGCTATGTTCTTGTTAGCTGTCTTCTTTACTGTAGAAGCAGATTTGGGAGAATCCAGCTGTCTCCTACTGAGCTAGGTAATAAAGAGATTTGCCAAAATGCAAAACTAGCACCACTCTTCATATTAAGTTTTGTTTGTTTTAGAAAACAGTTATTTTTCCTTAAACAGTGTCACTGGGTTATCATATAATGGGTTTGTTATTTTTACATGAATTAAAATTTTCAACTTTAATTTCAAATGCAGTGGTTGTAACCCATATAAAAAATTTAAAAACTCATTAGGGTATTCAATTTTTAAGAGTGTGGAGAGGTCTTCAGGCTACAATGTTTGAGAACCAACCCCCCTAGTAGTTTCTGCTTTTCACAGAGAGCTCCATTTCTCTGGAGTTCTTGGAGTTGTTGGGTGCGGTGGGGTTTCTCAGTGACTGGTCACTATTCTGATCAGAATTGTCTTTGTGTGGTTTAGACTTTCATCTCCCCTTCCCTCCAAATTTGCCAATGCCTGTCAAAGATTTTTATCAGAAAAAAATTATAGTAAGCCTTTTATCATATTTTAATAACTATAAGATTTTTTTGTCTGGTTAAGATGGTAAATCTTATGTTGTGTTTTTAAATCACATTTTAAAATTTAAAAAATAATAATAATTTGCGTGTGGTAGAAAGCAAAAAATAGAAGAATATCATTCGTTTTGTAGACGGCAACTTTTCTTTTTTTTATAATCAAAATTTTTTATTATGATATTGTGGGGTACAGTTAAGGGTTAAGTATACCAGTATGCTTCGTTCAGGCACCCTTGTTGATAAGAGGTGTCTCTCCGACCCTTTCTTTGTATGTTCTTTCCAGTTTATTTCCTAGAAAGCTTCAAGTATTCCCTCCATTCTGCTGAGGTTATGTTTTTAAACCTGTTTGAAGCAGCTGAGCCAGAAGTTGAAAAGTAGCTGCATGTTGTAAAATCTATAGATACTTTAAGTTACTTGATTTAACTTGCCTATTGTTTATTTTGTTTTGATGAAATAATATGGTCATGTAAACTTATTAACTATTTTATCCTATCTTTTTTTATAGTTAAGCAAAACTGGCTCTAAAGATGATGAGTAGTACTTGGAACTGGAGACAAGGAAAGAGCATCCTCAAAAGTAAACTGGGTTCAAAATCTTTCATGACTATTTTCTGGTATTGAGGTGGCTTTTTATAAAACACGATTTTTTGTATGTTTCTTACATTTAAAATGTAGGTTGAAAGTTCATGAAGAGATCTGGTTGTATTGAATTATTTTCACAAACTTGCCTTAATAAAAGGTGAAAATGTTACTGTTTAGTATACCTTATGAAGCCTGTTGAGCTTTGTAAATGGACAGATATAGGGAATAATAATCAGTGTTAATTTACATGATCTTATTCTAGTAAATGGGATATTTTTTTAAAGTGTAGAGCCCTTTTTAAACTGTCATCCCAAAGGAGCAGAGAGAGTATTGACCGACCCATATTAACAGACTTCTCATCTGAAGTAGAATCTTCATCTCTCCTTTTGCTTAATTACTGAACCATAAATTGCTTCAGAGAAATTTAAATACTGGTATTTGAGCTTTATATGTGATACACTTTTTAGTTTTTTATTTTTTATTTTTTAAGGGTGAACTACTTTCCTTTAATCAATTGATATCTATTTATACTTTTCTCTTGATTTGGGTCAAGGGTCTGATCATGAACGTTTCCAATATGTGGAATAGGAGATTATAAAAACAAATCTGCCAAATACATTCAAGAGCATTTGAATAAGAAGTGCTGGCTCTTATTTAAAACATTTCTCTTTGCTGCATATACCAGGATGGGAGTAAAAGATGCCTTAATATTTAATTTTTGTATTGTTGGATACAGTGATTTTAATAAATTCCTATTTATCTGCTGTTGTATGTTTTTAGTTAAACAACTGAAGTCTTCTAAGTGGTTCACATAAAACTACATTTCAAGTCTTTCTTTTGGAGCATCTTTTCAAGTATGCAAATGTGTTTCCCAACCTGAGCGTCTTTTTAATAATAGACATAGAAGTCTTTTAGATGCTGAAATGTTATACATACTTTAATTTTTAAAAAAAATCATTAATAGACAAATGATTGGTATAGTTTCACCAAGGACAGTTACTGATGTGTGATTTTGTATATGCTCCAAGCTTTAAGAACACTTGGAACTACTGCCGTGTCTGGAAGAGTAAGATTGTTAGTTCCTTAAGTTATGCCTGTGCAGCTTGAGTCTGAGTTTTTAAAGAATAATTAACTTTTAAAGAAAAATTACCTTAGCATAAGAACAGTTTGAATTGTAGCCATGTTTTTACTGGTTAACTGTGGCTTCAGTTAAATTATTTGAATTATAAAGTAAGTATGATTACAGTGAAGGAGTTTATCTCATTTTCAAAAGCTGAACTCATTTTGTTTCTTGAATTAATATAGGGCAAAACATGCTAAAATTCAGGACCACTGGAATATGTCAACTTTTGTTTCAGGGTTGTGTATGTATGGTTTTTATTGTGTTGATATTTTTTTTTTGAAGAAATATCTACTAGTGGAAGAAAATGCTTTGTTTTGCTCTAAAGATTCTGAAATTGTTCAGACTTATTGTGACTCATAGATTACAAAGAACGATGCTAGTTATATGCCAATGAACTATTTTTACTCTTTTTATATGAAATGTATGAATTTCTAGGGGTGATGGTGACAGTGGTGCCTCTTATTACCTTATATAAAACACTTGAACAATCTCATCATATTGCCATCATCTGTGTAACACTCCCAGTATATTTTCTCAATGTCTGTTTACTGAAATTGTGTGGAGTGACATAATTAATAAGCAATAAAGTCTAAATTACAGTGATTTTTCTACATGTGTTATTTCAATTCACTTCAGAGAAAATTGTTGATTTTATAAATCTGCATAACCTTATGGTATGAGGTATATCCTCCTACTAGAAATTATTCAAAATGTTGGATTAAAACATATTTTCAAATGAGCTCACAAGAAGGTAAGGAATTCCCAGAATCTAAAAAATTAAACGAAAGTTGGAAATGGGAGATTAATGACAGTGCTTGTTTTCACAGTTCCAAGGGGCCAGAAGGCAGGAGAAGTGCAGGGTCAGCCCAAGGTAGCGCATCTCCCAGACACACACACTGAGCAGATGTGAGGCTGAGACCCATCCCCCACAAGGGGTTCCGAGGAGAAGGTTCAGTCTGGAACTTGGGTTCTGGAAGAAGGAATAAAATTTAAGTGTGCATGTATATGTGTGCAAGTATGCATGTATACTGTATGTATATAAGGATGCATACATAGACATGTATACATATACAAAAAGGGACCCCAAAAAAGCAACTTATTGTAAAAATTGTGTAAACTTCAGTCATGTACATGACCACTTGCATGACCAATCCTGAATTATACCCCACATCTTTAAAATAAAATAATAAACAAATAAGCAAATAACTTTAGTCAACTTCAAAGTACTCTCTGATGTAATGCACCCATCAAGATGCTTTTTCCACTGCTCAGACGGTTTTTGAACTCATCCATTTTGATGCCTATTAGTGCTTCTGCCATTTTTTGTTTTGCCTCTTACATTTTGGCAAAATGTTTCCCTCTGAGGATTTTTTTCATCCAGGGAAGCAACAAAAAATAGTTCAGGGCAAGATTGATGAGTAGGGTGGGTAGGGCATGGAGGCATGCCATTTTTGGCAAAAACAAAACAAAACAAAACAAAAACTGCTGAATCCTCAGTATGGTGTGGGCAGGTGCACTCACGAATAACCCAGGATAAAATGGGCAAACTCGTTGAACGAATCTCCAAAAAAAATTCGCTGAAGCTGAACACAGCCTCTCACAACAACACTAGCTGGCACACTGATGCCAACGGGTTCCTAGAACACTTACCTAGCAAGGGAGGCCCGTACTACAAGGGGCTCCCTCTCCAAAAGATAGTTCTGGGTTTTTTGGGGTCCTGCTCATATATACTCACACACTTGACTGACCATTTGTGTCTACAATGTATCTCACACTTGCATTTCAGCCCAAATTTCTTCCCCTATAGGTGATCAAAAAATAAAACAAAAACAAACCCCTCATGCCAGTATTTTAGGTTAAAGTAGCACCAAATGGTGGAGCCTCTAGGCAAGCAAGCACATCTTTGGAAGACCCAACCTCAGCCCAGACCTAAGAAGTGCCCCATGCAGAGTTCACGGAATGTGCGCCTAGATTCAGAATCACTATACATAGAAGCAAGGCATCATGGGATCCTGCCGAGAAAACCGTAGGGGAATAAGAGCCATGAGGATATATTGATGTTACACAACCGCTACGTATTTTAAATAAATAAGAGGAAATTGAGCAAGAAACAAGAAAATTAAAAATCAAACATTTGAAAAAGGACCAGATAGGAAACAAAACAATTGAAATGAAAAGTTACTGGTGAAGACAAGTATTACTTTCAGTGAACTTTCACAAATCTGAAGTGTACAAATATCCTGTGAAATGAAGTTAATACTAAGCCTGCATTTTGGATTTTCTCTTTTTTGGCTGCAGCATTGGAGTCTTTCTACATCATCTCCTCACAGACCATGGTGTTTTAGATTAGCTGCATGAATCAAGCCTTTACTAAGCTCTGCTTGGGACTGTAGATACCTTCGTTTTGGAGGAGACTTCTTTTTCTTTTTGTTGTGAGGTCTCACGCTGTTGCCTAGGCTGGAGCACAGCGGTGATCATAGCTCACTATAGCCTCAAACTCCTGGGCTCAAGGAATCCTCCTGCCTCAGCCTCCCAAGTAGCTGGGATTACAGGCACGCACCACTACACTTTGCTAATTAGAAAAGAATTTTTTTTTTTTGCAGAGACAGAGTATTGCTCTGTTGCCCAGGCTGAAGTGCAGTCACGTGATCGTAGCTCACTGCAGCCTTGAACTCCTGGGCTCAAGTGATCCTTCTGGCTCAGCCTCCTGAGTGGTTGGTTCCACAGGCTCACAGAAGAGAGACCACAATGAGGTTTGGGCCAGTGTTTCTAGAGGGCTGTCTGTGGTTGCTTTAAAAATAGTAAGTTTAAAAGTCATGCCGTGTCATAGCAGTAGAGAGTTTGTTTCTTACTAAGTTTTTACTTTTATCAAAGTCATCCATGTGGATTGTTCTAGAAGCCAAGTTGTTGTGCAGGCTTTTAATGTGAAAAGATCACTTTTCCTGCCTGCACCCCTCCTGTCCCAGTTCCCACCCTTCATAGCTGTCTTTGAACATTTTGTTTTATCTTGGAATATTCCACAGAGTGAAAACAGAACAAGAGGGATGATCTGGCAATATAGGATTCAGAATTTCAGTGTTTTCAATACTGGAATGAAATAATAAGTCATATGTGATCCACAGTGTTTTTCAAATTTGTGACCCATAGTGAGGAAATCAAGGGTTTTTACTTGCCTTTTTTTTTTTTTTTTGAGTCGGAGTCTCACTCTGTCGCCCAGACTGGAGTGCAGTGGCCGCTCCCGACCACCACAACCTCGACCTGCTGGGCTCTGGCGATCCTTCCACCTCAGCCTTCCGAGTAGCTGGAACTACAGACACACGCTACCACGCCCAGCTAATTTTTTTGATTTATTGTAGAGATGAGGTCTCGCCAAGTTGCCCAGGTGGGTCTCAAATCTGCAGGCTCAGGCAGTCCACTCACCTCAGCCTCCCAAAAGCGCGGGATTATAGGCTGAGCCACCGAGCCCGGCTATTACTTGCATTTTTTAATAGAATGGACAAAATAGAATTGAACAGAAAATACGAGCATGGACTACCTGTTGTAAAAGTATTTTTTTCCTTGTGAAGACTTGTCCAGTTTTGGGTATGTATGTATGGGTATATTCACTATGTAAAATTTATTAAAATGAATCTTAGTGAATAAAGTTTGAAAGTCACTGATCAGAGCATACAAAAGATAGACCAACTTTTATATGAAGACTGTAAACTTTAAAATGCACAAAATATGCTTTTCAAAGTGCTAAGAACTTTTAGGATTGATTTTGTATGATTCCTAAAGATCAGTTAAGTAAAGCTACATTGCACACCATGAGAGGAGGAGCTAATATTGTCTTTAAAGTGGGCTCTTTAGCAACTTTATAAATCTGTAATTATGACAATTTTCACACGATAATTTTTACTTATTTGCTTAGGAGAACATTTTAATAGGCAGTGCCTGAATAAGTAGACAAGTAATTTTAATAGCATAATTGCATTTTAAGAGGCAATACCTGAATAGATAATTTCAGTAGCTTTAATTTATTTCTGCTTCACTGATGATAACCAAAAATAAGAAAATTCATTTAATTTCCCCATCATTTCTAGGAAAATAATCATTTGCTTACTGAGCTTCTTATATAAATCTAGTTTCCAAAACAAATCACCATAATAGGTAGACGGTGGCCATAAAGTAGACAAAAAACATTCCCACCCCTGCCCATTTTCTGTTTGTTATTGCTGGCAAGGTTTAAGTGATCTTGCATGTTTTGAGATGCCTTCTGGAGCTATAATATGTCCTTTATGGTGCTTCCACAAAGATTTGGTCTGTTGGGAAACTATTAATATTTTAAGCAACAAAACGTCTCTGCCCAGTTCTTTTTCCTTTTCTTTATAAAAGAGAATGCAACTTAGAAAAGGAGGAAACTGTCCGGGGGGTGCAGATGGCAAACATTGTGCTTCCTAATTAGGTGATTAGACATTAACCTTGAAAGTGCAATATTATGGCAATTTTTAGAGTACAGAGAGAGAGGAGAAAGGGTTTCATTTAAGGTGGGTGTGAAACCACCTAGAGGAATAACGAGCTGAGCCTTTCTGTGTCCACAGAAGCTCCTCCTAAGTGATCCGAGGCACCTCGTTCTGTTCCTGTTGCAGGTGAGGCTGAATTGACATGTATTTGTTTCTACAGAGGGCAGTAGGTATTTGAGTCTTATTATCTGTCTTGTGTGTGAAGGAACGTACTAAGATTTGGACTCCTGTAGCCTGGGGGAGATTTTCATCTCTCTGAGGCTTCTTCCGTGGAAGCAAGCATTTTAATTTTCATTCTTTGCACTGTCTTTTGTATTCCTAAAAGCATCTTTTTTTTTCTCAAATATCTACCCGGTAGTATGAATTTTTTTAACCATGGAAGTGGAAAGAATAAAAAACCTGAACCATTTCATCCTTTTTCTGATGATCACTAAATCCACAGTTTGTCACTTTGAAGTTTCACTTGGTAAATGCTGGATGCAGTGACTATTCTTTGCCTTCCAGCTCACAGATTAAATTTTAAATGGGTAGATGTTATTTTGTTTAAAATCCTCATGATAACTGAGAAATCATGCAGTTTTGGTTATAAGAATGTCCATCCATCTGCTAAAAGAAAGCTTAACTCCCACTACATGCTGACAAATACCATCTGTTAAATTTTTCCATTCAGTTCTATATTTTTCTTTCATATGTCAGTGTTTTTAGAGTTCTTACTAAGTTTTTATCTTTATCAAAGTCATACATGTAGATAGTTCTAGAAGTCAAGTTGTTGTACAGGCTTTTAATGTAAAAAGATAATTTTCCCTGTCTACACCCCTCCTGTCCCAGTTCCCACCCCTCGTAGCTAACGCTTTTAGCTGTTTTTAGCCTGAACTGGTCTATAAGGCCCTGGTCCACTATCTCCTGCTATGCCTGTCCCTGTCTCCGATCACTGTGCCCTTGTTCGTGCCTTGTGGCCTTTGTTCTGGTTGTTTCCTCTGTCTGGGACAGTCCCCCAGATACACAGGATTTTTGCTTCGAGTCTGGTTTTTACTCTGAATGAGGCAGGAAACCTCCAGAGGGTTCTCTCAGAAGAGTGAAGTGGTCTGACTTGTGTGTTGA